CAAGCACTTCTCAGAGGGGGCAACCCCAGCTGGGTTCTGAAGGCCGAGTAGGAGTTGGTTGTAAGGCTGAAGGGGCAGGCTGTGCTCTGGGAGCTCAGGGCCTGAGCGTGTGGTGATAGAGATGAGGACTGGTGGATAGACTGGCTGGAACACAAGGTGAGAATGCTGGGGCCGCGGCCAAAGAGGGAGAGCCGGGCCTCCTTCCTGCTTGTGCCCCTCCATGGGCTCTAGCTCACATCGTTGATAATAGTCTGAGCCTCTTCCTCTCCCTCTTTCCTACCCCCCACCCTGGGGCTCTGTAAGAGAACACAGGTCTGGAGCTCTCCAGCTGAGTTCAAGCCCCAGCTTCACCCCCTCACTGTCTTTATGGCTTGGGGCTCATTCCTTAATTGACCCACGGCAGCAGCCTCTTCGTGTGTAGGAAGGGACTGTCCCTGCCTCCCCTTGGGGCTGTTGTGAAGAGTGAATGTGCAAGGACAGAGGGCACCTAGTGCAGGGCCGGGGATGGGCAGAGAGACTCCAGAGTCTGTGAGCAAACCCTTCCCGCTGCCAGGCTTTGATCAGAACTGTGTCCACTGATGGGAGGTCCACGGCTTCCCTTCTACAAGAATCTTGGGTTCTAGGCCCTGTGGGGAAAATGAACACGAGATGGAAAAGCAGCAGCTACCGCCCACTCCCAGTCGTTAGAACCCATGAGTGGGGCCAGCCTTGGAAAACTGCCCACGGAGAGAAACAGTCACATCCCGTGTATGCGTGTTCCCAGACTGTGAAGGCACTTGGGGGAGACTCAGCCCCCTAAGACACCCAGTGGTTCTGGGAGGCTCCTGGGGCGGGAGCAGAGATGAGGGGAAAGAGCTGAACGGCTCCCCCGTGTGTGCTGGGCCCCGGGACAGGTGTAAGTCCAGCAGACTCCTCCCATGAGGGGGCCTGCGAGGGACCAGCCATGGCGTCCCACACTCAGCGTGTGCCTGACACCCAGAGGCCCATAGTATTGTTTGTTGTGCCTTAGTCCTCATTTCCAGGAAACGGCCGAGAGCTGTTGGTTTTCCAAGAGGACGTGAGTGAAATGTTCAAATAGGAACTGGGTGTTGAACAATAGCTCACCCGAAGAGCCATTTATTTCCAGGACCCAGATCAGAGGAATGGCTATTGAATTGAGAGGCCTGGACTCGGCCCTGGAATATGGGACAGACTCTTAGCCCCACCCCTTCCTTGTTGAGCGAAGTCCCATACCTGTCAGCAGGCGCACTTGTCCAATGGACGAGGCTGTACATGTCAGACACTCCAACACCAGGGCTGGCAGGAAGCAGACGCTGAAGAGGTGTTCCCTTCCAAAATTTAAACAGCGTCTCGATTCAGAGAGTTTTTCCATAGAGAACGTGCATCGGGCCTGGCCTAATGGAGAAGGGGCAGGTGCTCAAAAGCGGAGACAGAACGTCCACGGCAGCACGTCACCCTGAGGTGCAGGTTTGGGTCCAGGTGCCTGAAGAACGCGGTCCTCGGGACCCGGGGGCCTGGGTCTGACGGTTCTCATGTGTGTGTTTGCTGACCAGGAGCTGAGAGAAGATAACTTCACTTTGATTGACACCAAGTCCATTCTGGAGGAGCAGCTGACTGCGGCTCGGGCCCGGGTCGATAAACTGTACGAGCTGGAGAAGGAGAACCTGCAGCTGAAGTCGAAGCTGCACGACCTGGAATTGGTATGACAGGTTGTTGTCAGCATGTGAGCGAGAGATCGGGGCAATTTCAGGTGCACGTTGTGCCCTGCTCTGACTTCCTGCTACTGGGCTGGTGCTGCTGCCGGCACAGTGACCCGCTCACTGCGGAGAGTTGCTTGCAAAGCTCACCAGCCTGAGTGGACACCACTTCAGGCCCTCAAAAGAGAGAGGGCCTGACTGTTGTGTTGCTTTTCTGTAAGGATGGTTGTACACGGGCGTCTTTTGCAAAAAAGGGCATTTGTGGTGTGGACTGAGCTGTGATTTGGGAGTTCCTGCAGTCTTTCCAAGGCATATTAGGCCTGCTAAGGGGCCGCAGAGCTGCCCGCTATCATATCACTTGCTTTAAAGCCCTGTGCTGTACGCCACTTTGTTTAGACACCACTCAGAGACGTCAGGTGTCTTCATCACCTAGGCCCGTGGTCGGCAAACTGCGACTCGCGGGCCACATGCGGCTCTTTGGCCCCTTGAGAGTGGCTCTTCCACAAAATACCACGTGCGGGCGCGCACGTACAGTGCGATTGAAACTTCGTGGCCCATGCGCAGAAGTCGGTATTTTGTGGAAGAGCCACACTCAAGGGGCCAAAGAGCCGCAGTTTGCCAACCACTGACCTAGGCCACTGGGTCAGCAAGTCTTTTAGTGGCTGTAGGTCTCCCAGCTGGGCCCTGTGTTGGAGTCACTTCTGTGCAGCTGTGCTTTTGGAAGTGAGCAGGTGCATGGAGGCCCTTCATCCTGGGGGAATGAGGGTGGATGTACGGGGCAGGGCCTGTCCAGAGGGGGACATGGGGGCATCCTCACCGCTCCCCTCTTCTTGCACTAGGACCGGGACACAGACAAGAAGCGCATTGAGGAGCTGCTGGAGGAGAACATGGTCCTCGAGATTGCACAGAAGCAGAGCATGAACGAGTCCGCCCACCTGGGCTGGGAGCTGGAGCAGCTGTCCAAGAATGCAGACCTGTCAGACGGTAGGCAGAGCCCCTGGGGCCTGGGAGCCAGCCTGGCTGCGGCTTCTCCCTCATCCAGGGAGCTGAGCCCTTGGCTCTGAATCTCATGTGTCAGCCCATCCTCACCCCAAGTGAATAGGATTTTATTCAAGGGCATTTGGAACTTGTTTCGTTGCAATTCTCCCCAAGGAGAACGTGAAGGGTCTGGCAGCCTTGAAGTCAGGACATGAACTACAAAGTAAGTGTTGCCAGATTTCTCAGCTCCCGTGTGGACAGTCCCAGGAGCTTCCAGATGACAGCACGTTGACACCCAGAGGATGTCTTAGATCTGTCCGTGGGGGATTGAAAGCTCTGGATGGCAGGAGCCTTCCCCAGTGGTCACTAACCTGCATTATAACAGAGGCCCGGGCTGATTTCCTCCGTTCATGTCATCATCGGGCAGATGGGTGCAGTCTGCTCTCTGTCTCCCTGGGCAGGGCCTGCTAAGTGTCTGCTTCTCAGGGGAGCCAGGCCTCTTCCCCTCTCTCTTGTGTTTGCCCCCTCACAGCCCCCAGAGGAGGTGTGGGGTTGGCCAGGGGCAGGCAGTGCACCCGGCAAACAAGTAGCCAGTCCCTGTGCTCAACAACATCACGTGCACCTGAGGGTGCAGGCGAAGGTGCGCTTAGATCTCTGCAGCGCGCAGGAGGGCCTTGGGCTGGTCTGGGGATCGGGGAGGTGCTGCTTTTCCAATTCTGATCAACATTCCTAAACATCATGGAGAGGCTGTTGAGAGCAGCTGGATAGTCCTTCTCTTCAAGGGTCCCCATCAGTTCCAAACCTAAAATCAGTTCATTGAACTATGAATCTGTGTGAGAAGTCGGTTCTCTCTGTGGTTTGGAGTCTCAGCACTCCTGGGACCAAGGGTGGGCACAACAGGGATCTCTGCTCTGGGAGCTCAGGTTCATGGGGAGGACACTGCCCCCTGGTGGAACGCAGGAGTGGTGCCGGCTGGCAGGGACCTCTCAGACCTAATGTTTCTGTTAGAGACCAGGGAGGCTGGTGGGTTGGGAAGTCTCCCTGATTCAGGCCCTCTGTGTCGTTTGTGAACCCTTTCAGGTCAGTGCCCTTGACTACTTCTTGGTGTTCACACTTCTGCTGCTTATCTGGCAGGAACCTTCCCAGTGGGGACTAACTCCAGTACAACTGACATTCATAAACAAAGCGTGAATGTACTTTTGCGAGGATGGTGTGGTGGCTTCTTGAGTCAGAAAGGCCTGGCTTCAAGTCCTGGCTCCTCCACCTGTTAGCCAGGTGACCTCTTTTAAACCTCCATTTTCTTATCTGCAAAATGAGGTAATGAAGCTGCCTCCCAGGATTGCTATGCGTGTCTCGTGAGAGGAGACGGTGCAGCCTCACGCTGTGCCTGGCCCCCGGGGCACCAACAAAGGATGGCTGTCCTCATCGCCCTTGTTGAATGAAAAGATCCCCATTGCTCTGGTTCTGCGGGTGCTCGTGAGCGCAGCACCCAGTAGAGAACCATTGGTTGTTTTCCCAATAAACTGTTGTGTCATCTCAAGAGCCTCTGAGGCACTGGCCTTTAGGGAAGAGGAAATGAGGCTGGTCATCAGCTCCACTGCTGCACTTGGAGATCCTTCACGATCATTTCCCAGGAGACAGAGCCGGGTGTGAGGCACTGAGTGTGTCAGGAGGTGGGCGGGGTGAGTTGCAGGACAGTGGGGACCCATCTAATGCCACAGAATCATACGCTGAAAAATAGTTAAAACGGTGAACCCAGTGTCATAGATATTTCACCCCAATCTTGTTAACATGTATTTTTTTTACTGATTTCAGAGAGAAAGGGAGAGGGAGAGAGAGATAGAAACATCAAAGATGAAAGAGAACCGTTGATCGGCTGCCTCCTGCGCGCCCCATACTAGGCATGGAGCCTGTAACCTGGGCATATGCCCTGACCTGGAATTGAACAATGACCGCCTGGTTCATAGGTTGGCACTCTACCACTGAGCCACGCTGACTGGGCTCACCCCAATTTTTAAAACTGTTATTTTTAAAAGCGAAATCTTAATGAGCACAGGTGGTGACTTAGTGGAGTTTTCGGCCGTTAGGGTCGTTGGTGGCCTTGTCAGGATGAAGCCCGTGGCGAGTTTCCATGTGTTGACAGCAGGCGTGTTTGTCTGTGGGGTGCGCTGAGCTGGAGTTGGGCCACGAAGGTTCATCTGCACCACTGCTGAGTTGACTGCTGCTTGGGGTCTTCAGTCTGTTCTGGCTTCTTGGGTCTGTGCTGCTGTCCTTGGTGGGCGATGGGAACGTCCAGCTTCAGGTGCTGCGGTGACAACCGGCGCCCCTCTAGGTCCTTCCAGCCCCGAGGGGGTGAACAGGAAGCAGGTGGGGTGCAGCCCTAGGAGCAGTGCAGTGTGATAAGGCTCCCGGGTGAGGATGTGGCCCTGGAGGGACAGGTGAGGGGGCACCCTGACCCCTCATACATTCATTTACCTAAAGTCACGCACCTGCTTGTGGCAGGAAGGGGCCGAGAACTCCGGTTCTTCTCCGGTCTGTGCTCCCTTTTCTGTTCTGCGTTCAAGCTGTTTAAAAGCAAAGGAGGAAATCTGCCTTCTTCTGTCTTTACCTTATGTTGATCTTGCTTAGACTTGCTCAAGCAATTTAGATATACTGTCTCATTCTTTTTCAATGCAATTGTGAAAGCACAAAATGAAATCTCTGTCCGAAGGCCCTGCCCAGGAATGGTAAGTACTGGGCATACTTGCCCCAGAGCCTCTACCACCTGCAGACACACTGGTCAATTATCACCCCCCCCACACACACCCTCAGCTGAGCCACCCAGACCCCACCACTCTGAGGGCTGGCACAGAAAACGCCATCTCTTTGCCATCTCTGTTAGTCTCTGAAATCCCTGACTTGATGGCCAGGTTAGAACTTGGTAAAAAGTGGTTCCAGCAGTCCCACCATCTTGGGGTTTTGCATTGGCCTCTCCACCGTCACCTTCTTTCTTCTTAAGCTCTGGGTTGCTTCCCTACCAGGCACCAGCTGAGCCAGGTGCTGACAGCAACAGCACCCTGTGAACAACGGAGGGCACCCAGCCGACCACCCCAGGCCCCTCAGACCTAGGGCTCAGGGTGATGGCCCTGACCCGACTTTGCTCTTCAGCCTCCAGGAAGTCGTTCGTGTTTGAGCTGAATGAATGTGCTTCCAGCCGCATCCTGAAGCTGGAGAAGGAGAACCAGAGCCTTCAGAGCACCATCCAGGGGCTGCGGGACGCCTCCCTGGCCCTGGAGGAGAGCAGCCTCAAGTGCGGGGAGCTGGAGAAGGAGAACCAGCAGCTCAGCACGAAGGTAACTGTGCGGAACATCCGGGCAAGCAGGTGGCCAGGCGGAGCGCCCAGGTGTCGGTGAGGATGCGCAGCTGGGAGAAATGCAGATGCAGGGCAGCCACAGTTATGGTAGCGGGACACAAGTCCTCATGGAGCAGAGTCCGAGGCAGCATGACCTGTCCCTGCAGCAGTGCGACCGGACTTGAGGGACGTCTGTGTGCCTCGTTGCCTTCACCTGTGCAATGGGCATGACTCCTTAGCCCCCGGCCTCTCGGGCCCCACCCCTGCTTCCTCTCTGGGTCAGTTCCCTGTAGGAAACCATGGCAGTCCTGCTAGAGCCCTCGGGAGGCCTGTCTTGGCTCCGAGTCCTGGTAGAAGGGAGGGACTGCAGTTCCCACACCAGAGCTGTCCTGTGTCCGGTCCCAGGAGCCCTGGCCAGGTGGCCCTTCTGCTCCTCCCCCCTGTCCTGCTCAGCCCGCTCAGGGCCTGGCTGCCTCTGTCCTGACCAGCGGGGCTGGTTTTGCTTTCTCCCCCGAACCTGGCACGTCATGGGTCCTCCCTAATGTTGGGTGGATGGTGCGTCTCGGCCGTCAGCTGAGGACCATAGGGGACATGGCCCGACGCTGGCCTTCCTGGAGCCAGGGCACAGCCTTGGACACGTCCAGACGGCATGGTCACTCGGGGCATCTGAGAAGGGAACAGGGTCAGCCAGGACACGGCTGCCCGGAGTGCCAGGCACCCTGGTGCCTGCTCGGTTCTTCCACCACCCGAGTGTCGCCCAGGCTGTAGGCTGACTTCAGTCTGAAACGTCTGTGTAAACCATAGTTCCCGAAGTCCACGTCCTTCCCTGAGACTCACCACCCTTCTGTGGGCCTCAGAGAAGGCGCCTTCTCTGCCTCATTTGTATTGATATCCTAAGTCCATTCCTTCAACCAGGAATCCTGATTTTGAGAGGAAGAGGGACAGTCTTTGGAGGCCTATCGGGGACACAAGCCCGGCATGGGGGCTGCTGAGCAGGTCCCTGGCCCCTGCATGCTCTGGGGACCGAGAGCCTCACCACAGGAGTCCTCGGCTCAAGCCTGGTGCCCACCCGGGGAGGATGGGAAACCCCTTGGGGCCAGCTCCCAGCCCAGCGAGCTCTCCCTACGGGAATGGAAGTCCTTCAGGGATGGATAGGACTAAGGGCCCCAGTTCTGTGGCAGAAAGAACCAGGCGAAGAAAGATGGGGGGTGTCTAGCAGTGGTGGGTGGGACATGGGCAATCACATCTTCCTGCTATAAGCAACAACAATCAGAAATGCCAAGGTTGGAATCACATTCCTTTCTCTGTGCAGGACGGGGCAGCCGGGGTGAAACATTAAGAGTAAGATGGTGGGGGTTGGAGGACACACACCCCAGGCCCCGGCTGAGGGAGAGCAGGGCTGGGTCGGCCCATGGCTGTGCGTTGGGCTCTGCCGCATCCTCACTATGGGGCTCTGGGCAAATTGCTGAAGGACCCTGAGCCCCGTGCCCTTCTCTGAATGAGGGTGAGTGACAGCTGCTCCGGGCCTTCCTCCTCGGAGTCGGCTCGGGGGCAGGCACCGCCCTCAGAGCAGATGCTGATTCCCTGCTGAGCCCAGACCTGGTGCTAGGAAGCGGGGCTGCGATAAGGAAGGAGAAGAAAGATGTTCTCGCTTTTGAGGAAGACTCAGACACGTGGCATGTTACAGTGCAACTAGCTATTGGCCCCGTGCTCAGGTCCCCATGTTGGGGGGCGGGGGGCTTGGTGTGCCTACGGTGATGTGAGGACACGACTGTGAGCCCCACTGTGCCCGACCCCCCTCCCCCCTTTGGAGAGGAAGCTCGCCTGGCTCCTGCTTCCGGAGGAGTATTGAGACAGTGCCCAGACCTATGAGATAAAGGCAGGGGGGGCCTCACCCTGGGAGCAATAGGCAGAGCCCGCATTAGAGCAGCGATCCTCCCGGGAGCTTTGCAGACCCACCTGTGCCAGGCTGCCCCCCAGACAGGCCAGTCGAGCAGGCTCTCGGTCCTGGCTACTCACTGGGCATCTGAGGGTCCTCCCCCGAGAGGGCCCAGTGGGGGACCTGAGGTCCAGGGTCTGTAGGAGCTCTGAGAACCACCTGGTCTTTGGAGATCCACTGTGTTCGTTTTAGAGCAGCCACCCCAAACCGGCAGCAGCAGGGTCACCAGTCCAAATGCAGATTCTTGGGCGCCAACCCTGCCTGTCAGAAGCTCGGGGGGGAGGGGGCACTGGCGCTCTCACAGGGGTCAGCGATGGTTGTCATACCTGCCACCTGCCAGGTGTGTGCTGAGCACTCCCCCTGGCAGAGCTGGTGACCATGCCTGCTGCTTATTGGCCCTGTCAGTTAGGGACACCCGCTCGTGGTCACCTCGTTAGCAGGGAGCAACCCTTTCCCCCGCTCCTGCGTTTGGCATCAACAGGGTCTGTAGGAGCTCTGAGAACCACCTGGTCTTTGATCGTGGAGATCCACTGTGTTAGCTTTAGAGCAGTCACCCCAAACCGTCAGCATCAGGGTCACCAGTCCAAATGCAGATTCTTGGGCGCCAGCCCTGCCTGTCAGAAGCTTGGGGGGGAGGGGGCGCTGGCGCTCTCACAGGGGTCAGCGATGGTTGTCACACCTGCCACCTGCCAGGTGTGTGCTGAGCACTCCCCCTGACAGAGCTGGTGACCATGCCTGCTGCTTGCTGGCCCTGTCAGTTAGGGACACCCGCTCGTGGTCACATCGTTAGCAGGGAGCAACCTTTCCCCCGCTCCTGCGTTTGGCGTCAGTGGGAAGGGACAGCAGCAGGGGCCTGGCCTGGGAGCCCCACCTCAGGTCCCGCCCTAGGTACCTGAGCCTGATGAGGACATCACGGTGTTCAGGTGTCAGGCACAGAGCGTGAGGTGTGCGGGTTCAGGCAGTCCGTGTTTAGGGAGTGGGCTTGGTGGGTCCCGCAGAAGAGCTCTGTGTTGGACCACTGATTGGGCCATCGTCCAGGCAGGACGGAAGGTGGTCTGGCCTGGGGCAGCAGTGGGGGGTGGAGGGGAGCCGTATGGGGGACAAGGACAGGCCTTGGTGACACATTTACTTGGAGGGTGAGAGGAGGGAGAGAGATGGCAGAGGACCTCTCTGAGCAGCTGGGTGAATAGGAATGTCACCAACTGGATGAAGTCCCTGTGGGACATCCGGCAGTGGAGTCTGCTGGCCCCAGGCATGTCGCCTGACACTCAGGATAGTAGTGGACAAGGCCTAAGACGGAAGCAGTAAGAGTGAACAGCGGTGAGCTGGGAGGGAAGCTGACCGATTGGTGCCCATGACCTTTTTCTCTACCATGAG